TATGTCAAAGGATGTTGAAGCAGAATAAAAAGAGGTTTCTTTCTTTTTTTTCTTTTTTTCATGTAATCTCTTTTCTGGGCAAGGGAGCTTTAGAAACACATTTTGGCTAACAGTGCCATTATACTTGAACTTTATACACATATGGCATATTCTGGTTTTAACGGACTTTTCATGTTGTCTCATTTGATTAACCATGCTCAAAGTCAGAGTATTAGGGACAAAGTTGTTTTTAGGTGATGCTCAGGATTGCCATGACTTGTTCAGTTGTATAGTTTATAATCACCCTACAACAGCTGCCATTTATGACACACTTTGTGTGTGTTAAGTGGAGTATTCACCTCTGTATACATAATCTCACTGAATCTTTCACCAAAACATATCAACAATGTGCTACAATCTTTTCCATTTTAGAGAGAAACAAACTAAGTCTTAGAAGACATGCATTCTTATTCAAACTTACACAGACAGTGAATTCCAGAGTCAGATTTTGAACCCAGGCTGCCGCACTCTTGGGAACACTGCTCCTTGTGCTATTGTTTATGAAAGACTTTTGCAGGTGATGTTTGTTGGGTGACACTTGCCCTGAGAACAGGGTTATTATTTTTAAAATAGACTGTAATTTTTGATAGTAATTAATAAATTAGTTGGTTCCTTTTATCATCAACTGTTTTGTATAAGTATTCATTTTATAGTTCTTCCTTTTTATAATTTTAACCCTTCCCATCCTCCAATATCGAACATTTCATATCATCTTATTTTTATTTTTTCTCTTTCACACTGATCACTAATATATGGATACATCTTATTTATCTTGTTTATTGTCTGTCTTCTTCTCTAAACTAAGAGTTCTATGAGAACACAGAGTTCTCTCTGTTTTGCTCACTAGCATATTTCCAGCTCCTATTGAACTCAATGTATATTGGTTAAGTCAGCTAACATTTATATTTAGAATGTGTTCTTGGATTTGTTATTTTAAAGATTGTTGTGTAATGGAGTGGGGAGAAATATTTGGAACTAACCTTTCAGTAGCATTAAAATCTACCTGTAGATATTTTCATTCACTGCTATTCGATGCATATTATCTGCCATAAGAGGCTATATCCTATAAGAAAAAGATAACAGATGGGAGAACCATGTTAGAATTATGGAGAAAAACTGTATTTGCAAGTTAGATTCTCCCTTTCTAATGATGATAGACTGTTAGGTCTTGAATGTTATGGAGAGCTGAACCTTAATGAGGAGGTGGTAATGCAGTCCTTAGTAGCATAGTTATTGTTCTCAGGGTGCTGAGGTTCAACTCAGCTATGCCATTTACTGACTACTATAAATGTTAGAAGTCACTATTATTATTAAGAATATTTGTCCTGGTACATCAAGGCATTTTTCAACCCCTTGAAACTATATTAAATCTTTTGTGTTTAAGAGGCTGAAACATCTCTTAGAATGTCTATAGCTTTCATAAAAATTTCACATTTTTAAATACACTTCTCTCAGCATCAACTATTTATTATAAATAAATCTTTGCAACGTATTCCTTTGGTTTGGCCAGTTAGAATCTTAACATTTTGGAAGTCCTATATATGAGGGGGGACCCTAACAAAAACCTGGAATTATCTTTTGGAGGACAACCCCTTGTAGTACAGGCTTCCCCCCCTAGGAACCCATCAGCATCAGTGTACCAGCTAGAATTGTTGTGTGAGGCTGTGTTTGGCTTCAGTGAATTTTTTTGGAGATTCTTTTAATGCTTTTGTCCATTTCATGATTTATGAGCTCAACTGCTTACACTGTACTTAATGTTCAGCAGTTTTTGACTAAAAATGGCATTACCCCAGTGCCCCACCCTCCCTATTCACCTGATTTCACTCTGAGTGACTTTTTCTGTTTCCCAGGATGAAAAAAAATCCTCAAAGGGAAATGCTTTGCCCATGAAGAGGTGAAACAACAAAACAGCAAAAGCACTAAAAGGCATCAAAATTGACCAGTTCAAAAACTGTTTTGAGCAGTGGAAAATGTGTCTCGATAGCTTATTGCATCAAATGGAGAGTATTTTGAAGGTGACTGAAGTTTAAACATGTGAGAATACATACACAATTTTTAGCAAATAAGTTACAAGTTTATTGGGTCTCTGCTTGTATTGTATTTCTATCTTTTTACTTGCACTAGAAGCTATGTATACAACAGCTACTAAACCACAATAATTTCATTATTATTATAATCTTTTTTTCACAGTTGAGGTTAATTCATTTGCCTATACTTATATGATAGAGTAAAACCGAATACACAATTTATAAAATAGATTATCACATTTTCTTGTCAATAATACCTATGCATCTCTCTCATAGGAATATGGTTCTCTCTCTCTCTCTCTCCCCACCGTGTGTGTGTGTGTGTGTGTGTGTGTGTGTGTGTGTGTGTGTGTCTTTGAGGCAAGGTCTCAGTGGTTCAGGCTGGAGTGCAGTGGCATGATACTGGCTCACTTGATACTGCACATGATACTCACATGACACTGCAACTTTTATATCCTGGGCTTAAGCGATCCTCCCACCTCAGCCTCACAAGTAGCTAGGACTACAGGCACACACCAACACACCCAGCTAATTTTTACATTTTTTTGTAGACAAGGTCTCACTATGTTGTTCAGACTGGTCTTGAATTCCTGAGCTCAAGCAATTCTCCTGCCTTGACCTCCCAAGGTGCTGGGATTACAGGTGTAAGCCACTACACTTGGCCGGAATGTGGTTATTGAGTAAAGAAGCATCATGACCTTCATCTCTGAAGCCTCAGCACCTGGAAAGGGTAAATCACATACCACTTGCTCAATATATATTTGTTGTGTAATGATTGAGTCGGACATTAGATTCAATCTTTGGATAATAAATCCTCAATCTTTTGCAAATACAATGTTCTAGCATTTTCTCTTGCTCAATATCTTCCTCAGCTATGGTATAAACTATTAAGTAAACACAGTTCTGTCACAGAGAAGAAAGTAGACATAAATTAGAAATCTAATAAAAAAACCAAAGTACATATTTTATTTCTATTGAAAGTATATGGAAACTGAAGACAATGATACGTTTTAAAGCATTTGATATTGTTTTAAAATAGTAATTCATAATTACTTTCTTTCTTAATAATCCCAAACTGCCAATTACAGAAAATCTCCTATGTTAATTTTTAGGGATTTGGTCATTCTTTTTTTTTTAGTTGGAGTCTCACTCTGTCACTCAGACTGGAGTGTAGTGGCCGCTCCCGGCCACCTCAGCCTCAACCTGCTGGGCTCCGGCGATCCTTCTGCCTCAGCCTTCCAAGTAGCTGGAACTACAGGCATGTGCTACCACGCCTGGCTAATTTTTGATTTATTGTAGAGATGAGGTCTCACCAAGTTACCCAGGGGGTCTCGAACCCAGGGGGCAACCACTCACCTCAGCCTTCCAAAGCGTGGGTTTACAGGCTGAGCCACCAAGCCCGGCTGGATTTGATCATTCTTATGGTCCTTACCTGCATTTCTTGTACTCCCCCACTTCCTTATCTGCATCACTTATGATATTCTTAAGTCTTGTTTTTTTTTTTTTACATTTATACCTTTGTCACATTTTCTGATCCAGTCCTCCATGTTTATCATATTATTCCACTAAATTCTTTCCTAATATATCTTTCAATCAGTTAGATGAACAATATCCCTCCAATATGAGAGCTATGTAATGAAAGGATTGGGAGTCCACTGGCAGATAGCCAAGTTTAACAAGTATGGAGAAAAGAGGTGAAATAGAATTTTAGGGAAAAAAAAGAAAGACTAGGCAATAGTATGATAAGTCGTAATAGAATTGATATGTTGATACTCTTCCTATCCAATATAGCAGCCAATGCTGATTTATGAATGAGTAAATATTCCCATCATTGCATCTAAGGGTAAAATAAAATGTTTTTTAAGCTTTTGAATATACTGATTTTCTTTTTCTTTCTTTTGTTCTTTTATTCTTTGCATTTTTACAGGCAAAAGAATAGTATAACAAGGTTACTCTAGTGCTACTAAAATGATTTAGATTATCCAAGATCCACTATATTCTACATTATAAAAGTTAACTTAGTCTTAAATTTTAACATTTTTGTATATAACATCACACATACTTATATCATGTGAATTAAATAACTTTACTTTCTAAATGAGAAATTAAAAGGTATAACTATCGAACTTCATAGAAAAATATATATCTAAACTCTAATAATTTCATTGTACAAATATTTTGGGTGAAAAGTTGAATGTTTCAAATATTTTACATTAAATTCTAGAAATAAGAATCTATGCTGCTTAAAGAAAAAAAAAACTCTGTATATTAGTCCTTATCTACTTCTTAGCATAAAGGCACATACATGTCCATTAAAAAAATTTTTGATTATAGCAAAATATTAAAATTAAGTATATACTTTCTAATAACATATTCACAAAGCCTTATTTCTTAATTTTCATTTGCTTGGAAGGTTATTTATTACATGAATTTGTTTTATGCAAACTGATTCATCAAACAATATTGTCAATGGTAGTGAAAATAGTCATGCTACTTGCAGAGGTATCCAGAATTCCTTGACCACAGTTAATTCTTAAAGTTATTTGAGAATAACCGCAGGCAGTACTTGCAAATTCAAATCATATAAACACTTTCGAGTTTCACTTCAAAAACAAAAAGTGATTTTATAGAATAACACATTAACAGAAAAATAAAGCCCTTCTTTATTTCAATAGTTGAAAGCCCTAATGTACTGATATTGTGAATAAAATAATTATTTTTTAAAACAAAAAATACCTATAATTTCCCATTTAACAGTAAATATGGCATGCAGTAAGACTCTATCAAATCTTCTAAATATGTTTTAAAATGACCAACTGATCAGTAATTTTCATGACTTAACAACAAGGATTTGACAGTAAATTACTGGGTCTAGTAAGTGCATGCTACAGAATAGTATGTTCAGCGTCAAAAAATAAAATAAAATGCAATTACCCTAAAAGACATTTCAAGATTTTCTCCACCCCAGATATCCATTCCTGCATCGTAAGTTCCTATCTCTTCAAAGTAGTTTCTGTCAATAGAAAATAGGCCACCAGCCATAGTAGGGGTCCTAGTTGAAAAAAAACAAAAAGAAAAGAATATCTTTTGAAAACAATGTGTGGAGTTTAATGAAACTATAGCACATATTTTTGAAACATTTTAAATATAAAAAGAGTACTCAAAAATCTCAGACTGGAAACATAAAGTCAAGGTGTAAGAGGTTTTAAAATTAATAAATAGCACTTTATTTCATTTTTTTCTGTAAAACTCAATTTAGATTAGTCTATGTTTTTCTTACAGGTGATCCAAGAGATACATGGAAGGAACACTGGCCATTTAAGACTGGGGCTTCTATATTCCTTCTGAAAGCCTAGTGTAGAGAGGTTTCTGCCCTTTGTATTGTCCTTCAAGAAGTTAACTGGTCATGATACTATCAGCTGCAATATTTTATTACATAATTATCAATCATTTTAATGTAAACTCCAGGAACTTGTGGACATGGTCTCACTATGAAAAGATCCACAGTCCTATTTAAGCATAAGAAAAATGCTATAAAATGTTTCAGAAACTAAGTATCTAATAATAGTTACAAAAGCACTTTTTAACATAAGAGCTTCATATCTAATTGCTTATTCTTCTCTTTACCTAATTAAAAGGAGATAATTAATCATTTAATTCTCTGGATAAACATAAATCCCATGTACGATTCAGAGGTTTAGAAAGGCATTTGTAAGGGATTCTAAAACTTTTTCCTAGGAATAAATGTCTTTTGAGTCTCACATTCAAAAATTTTCTACAGAAATCAAAAAGTCAAATGTTAAGTTATTAAAGGATTAATTATTTTTAATTAATTTTAAAAGATTAAAGACAATGGTTAATATTTGAGCTACACAAGCCTTTCTACATATGAGCATTGTGAACTACACAAGTCTTTCTACATATGAGCAGTGTGAATTAAAGATAGAAAAGTAAGTTGTAGTTGTTTACAAATTGATTCATACTGGCAACAATGATGTTTGAATATTTGTTGTAAAGTAGTGGTTTCCAATTTTCCTAACCCATTAGCAGCATCTGATTCACCATTAGAAAAAAGATGTTCGTGACTGGCTACCACAGATTCAGATTTCATTTCCCTGGGATGGAGCCCAACTTTGATATTATGTAAAGTTTCCATGTAATTCTAATGTATCGCCAAGGATGAGAAACACTGATCTAGAACTTGGATTTGAAATGCTCGCCCAAGTAATCTCTGAGATTGTTTAAAAACAAAACAAAATACATGTTTTGCTCTTCTTGAAATTATATCCTCTGCCAAAGGTTATGCTCATGTTTTAATTAAACAGAACTGTTCATTGAAAAATCACCAAATAATATTGTACTTGGACATCTACCATATTGCAAAGTTTTCTATTTCTCCCACTGCTCTCACTGTTCTGTGCTCAGGTAATTAACTATCCATCAGTTGGAGTGGCAGAGCCTTACTTAGTCCCAGAGCTGTTTTATTACTTCTAGTCTTGCTGGTTCCTATCACAAATAGTATCATTGACCTGAGTTATAATGAGTAGCACTAACAAATCTAGACAGATGGTAATTATGGAGTAGCCATGACCCTTACCTGATGGGGGTCTTGGAACTCTTTGGCAATAACTATACAAGATATTACAGTGCTTGGGAGTCTAATAAAATTAGGAACCAAAATTGCTGCAATTATCCTATCATAATGCTACCAAATGCTTAAGAATGTTAAGTGATGCATTTTTAACAATCAGTTCAGAGTGCCTGTCTACTTATCTACTTACCAATAAACTACTGACACATTTTAATTTAAATATATGCATTAAATTTAATCTTACAGTTGGTCATCATTCTGATAAATATGTGAGAAATATGTAATGAATTGCTAAGAATAAAATATATTTAACCATAAAAATGATTCAAATAACTTTCACTTACACTTGAAAACTAACAAAAACAATAAAATAAAACTATAATTTCTTTAAAAAATTATGTGTTTTTTAAAGACAGAAGTCCCTAGACAGGTTTTTTTGTGTTTGCGGTATCAGTGAGCTCTCTGTCTATAAGACTCTGACTTATAATATTTGATGCTTATAGCCACAGCCAATGTTATGCAACATGTTCTGTTCTATATTAGTTGTCCTCTAAAATACCCAATTTATATATACCTACACATTCAGAGTATACAGAAAATGAAAAATCTTGACTATAGTTGAACTAGCTGAAATTATTTGCTTTTCAAGGTTGTGTCTGTACAATGTCAAGCCAACCAATCAATTCAATGAATTTGGATTTGGGGTGGTGAGAATACTATCTACTACATAGTCAGTAGATGAAGATGACTTGCATTAGTAGAGGCAAAAGCCAACCATGGCCAAGGTGGGAAGATTCCTTATAGCTAGAGGTTTGGAACTAGCCTGAGTAACAATATGAGATCCTGTGTCTACAAAAAAGAAATAATAATAATAATAATAATAATAAATAAACCAGACGTGGTGGCTCTTGTCTGTAACCTCAGCACTCTGAGGGGTTGAGGCAGGAGTATTGCTTGAGCCTGGGTGTTCAAGACCAGCCTGGGCAGCATAGTGAGCCCTCATCTCTAAAAAAAAATAAGTAAATTATTTGGGCATGGTGGCATGCATCTGTAGTCCCAGCTACCCAGGAGACTGAGGTGGAAGGATAATTTGAGTTTGGGAGATCTAGGCTGTAACGAGCTGTGATTGTGCCACTGCACTACCGTCTGGGAGATGGAGTGAGACCCCCAACTCAATAAAAAATAAAAAAATAAAAAAAAAAAACGTAAGCAGGTGTGGTGCATGTGCCTGGAGTTGCAGTTACCTGGGTGGCGGAGGTAGGATGATTGTTTAAACCCAGGAATTTAAGGCCAGCTTAGGCAATTTTGTGGGACCTTGTCTCTACAAAAATCAAAAAGGAAACTGTGTGTGGTGGTATATGCCCATAAGTCCCAGCAACTTGGTAGGTTACTATGGAAAGATCACCCGAGCCCAGGAGTTTGAGCTTGCAGTGAGCTGTGATAGTATCACTTCTTTCTAGCTTGGATGACAGAGCAAGATCCCATCTCAAAAAACAAACAACAACAAAAAAACCAGCAGCAAAGCATTTAGCACAGTGCCCAACACATAATTTAAAAGGCTAGGTAATTTATCTTTGTGGTGGTTGATACTAATCACTTAAACAAAATTCTAAGTGTCCTTCACTTAATTTTGGCTCTCAGATACATACACACACACACACACACACACACACACACACACACACACACACAAACACACACACACACACCCTCATGTGGGGTTTCAAAATGATTTCGTACTACTTCACATATAAGATGTTGACTGTGAAATATGCCTCAGAACACAACTTCATATTCTTAGCCCCCTTATTTCCATAGGAAGTTACTTTTTATTGTTCATTGATGATTATGGTGACTTAGTTAATCTATACTGACACATTTATAACATTCTTCAGGAATTTTTTTCTTCCCTTCTCCGAGATCCCCTCCAAGGCTCTGCCACGTCAGTAAAACACTAGCTTATCACCTTTGGTTCTCTGACCTTGCTTTCCTGCAATTCTCAATTCTCTTTGTAAATGTCGGTGCCTGGGTGAATTTACTCTTCACTTCATTCAATTCTGCTACTAAGACACAGCAGACCATTGGAAAAGTAATAAGACAAGGCCAACTGGTTATATGTCAAGTTCATGTTATTGATTCTCTGCTTAGTTCACAAACTGCTAACAATTCTTTTATCTGTGTTTACGTGTTCACCTGTCTTATTTTTAATTGAATCTTTTCCAAAAAGTTTTGGAATTTTCTCAAGAATCTGGGGATTAAGGCAATGCATGAAATCTAAACTTCCTCAATCATGAAATCGAAACTCCTCAATTTCCTGCTCAATCTTTTTTTTTTGAGTTGGAATCTCACTCTGTCGCCCAGACTGGAGTGCAGTGGCCGCTCCCGGCCACTGCAGCCTCGACCTGCTGGGCTCCGGCGATCCTTCCGTCTCAGCCTTCCAAGTAGCCGGAATTACAGGCATGCGCTACCACGCCCGGCTGATTTTTTGATTTATTGTAGAGATGAGGTCTCGCCTGCCCAGGCGGGTCTCGAACCCGCGGGCTCAGGCAATCCACTCACCTCAGCCTCCCAATGGCGCGGGATTACAGGCTGAGCCACCGAGCCCGGCTTCAATGTTTTTAAAAATGTATCTTCCTCATGGCTTCCCCCTTTCTCTTGTCTGGCAGAAAAGATGATCTCCTTTCCTTTCATTGTGCCTTAGCGTTGACGCTTGTGCCCTCAGCAGGCTCTCTCTTGACTACTCTTTCAGTCAGGTGCTCATTGACTATTAACATTTATGTTTTATGCCTTTGATTTCTAGATTGTCCCCTTGAGCTTACAAAACTGCTCAATTAAGTTCTATTCTAAACCAAAATACGTTTTCAGTCCACCTTATTATTCTTTGAATCTAGGGACATACAGTTTCTATTCCCTTCCCTGGCAACCTTTTTGAAAGGATAACTTTCTACATACTCCCCCAACTCCTTTTGACCTTCTAACTAGAAGCTAGATCCTGCTCCCACTTCTACAATAACTTCCCGCTGAAAGGTCCCCATTGGTTCTGAACTCCAACAGCCTTTCCTTAACTTCTCTCTCTTTAAGCATATGACACAATTCATCAGCCTTCGTGCTTGAAATTCTTTTCACCTCTTGCTCCCATAGCATTGTTCTGTAGAGGTTTTTCTTTCTACTAATTTGACTGTTCATTGTATGATTCTTATTGATACTCTGTCTGCTTCCTTTCTCTAGCTATCAGATTTTGGACAGGCTTTAGTTTCACATCTACCATATAAGTACAATATGTCATTATAATATTATTTTGTGGATATATACATTTAACAATTTATTTTCTCATCTGAAATGTAGTCCTCCCGAGGGACTCTAAGGGGCACTTTTTCTCTGCTCTTTATTGGGGTAAGATTAGATCATTCATCATATGTGTTTAACTGTCACCTCTATGAGACTGATTCATTTGTTT